CATGGCTCGGTCGGGCTATATATGGATACCCCACGGCTCGTTTCCCCCTTTGCTAGGGTTTCCGGCTTCCGCTTCCGATCTGCGCCGTCACCGTCTCCCTATTCGCCGCCTCGTCAGATCTAGCCCTCCTCCTCCACTTCTCCTCCCTTTCGCTGCGGTGCTCGCCATGGACAAGTCTCGGGGTTCCTCCTGCAAGGCGGTCTCGGGCAGTAAGCGCCGCCGCGAGGACTCTCTTGCTTCTGCGGTGGATCTGGAGCTCGAGGCTTCGCTCCGCTCCAAGTTGGAGGCGGAGCAGTCGGTGCGCGATCAGGTGGCTCGTGACCGTGCGGCCTGGGCTGCGGGTCCCGAGTGGCTGCAGCGCTCGGATCGGGAGCGCGCGTCTGGTTCTGGTCCGCTGGGATCTGGATCTGGCCCCTTGCTCTTTCCGGCGCTGGATCGGTGGGGCGGCGGCCTCCAGCGGTGGGATCTCTTCTTTGTCTGGTTCCCTGCTTGCCCTCGGCGCGGGGCGTGGCTCGTCTGCTCCAACGCGTTCCCTCCCCCTCCTCGCTCGGCTGGTGCCGGTGCTGGGTCGCGTACGCCGCCCCGGTCCTTTGTTGGGCCGATGCATCGTCCCCCCGGCCCGCCCTATGGGGTTCCTCCCTCTTCGGGGGTGGGAGACGGGCTGCTCCCTCCTCCCTTGTCGGTTCCGCAACCCCGCCCCTCCTCTGCTCCCCAAAGCAACCCCTCGGCGCTCACCTGCTTCGCCTGCCACAGACCTGGTCATTTCCAATCTCGATGCACCAACCCCCCGTTCTGCTTGATCTGTCGCTCTGATGGTCACCTCACCGTCAACTGCATGAATAGGCAGAAATCTCCCTCGATTATTCAGTTTGGATCGGGCCTCCCCAGATGCGCCTTCTTTGCTTTCGACAGTGACCTGCCTGTCCTGGAGGTGGCTCCCTCTCTCTCCAATTCTGCGATTGTTACTTTGAAGGACCAAAAGATCTCGCCCCAAACCTTACTCGAAGGGCTTCGCATTTGGGATGAGGCAGGGTGGGA